CCAAACATGAAAAAGAGCACAGAGGTCCAAACAGAATCCTCAGAAGTTGAATCAGAAGCCATATTAGGAAGAAAACAAAAACGTTTTGAATATCAGCAGCAGAAGCTTGACAAATCTTGGTCCATAGCTCCATAAGCCTTTTTACCTCTGGCTCAACTCTAGATTTTTACAACACCCCATCAACAAACTTCCAATTGCCAAAAGAAAAGGTTATAACCTTCAGAAATATTTGTTTCTCAAGACTCAAATTGCTTTTTTTTTTTAAGATTTTATTTACTTTTGCGAGAGAGAGAGAGAGAGAGAACAAGCGGGGGCGGGCAGCAGAGGCAGAGGGAGAAGCAGGCTCCACACTAGCAGGGAGCCCGATGCGGGACTCGATCCCAGCACCCTGGGATCATGACCTGAGCTGAAGGCAGACGCTTAACGAGTGAGCCACCCAGGCGCCCCTCAAATTGCTTTAAATAAACACATAGAGGCACCATCTTCCAAACACGTTTTTAACAAGCTCATCAGATACGCTAGTGCATATACACAGGAGTGCAAAAACTGCTCACATCACCCCAACCCCTTACCTAGACCCCTTTACAGCATCCTACCTGACTTTCCTCTATTCAAAGCAATATCTAGACCAGGAGCCTTCTTTCTTACCCCAACTCAAGTCCTCAGTTTGAGGAATACACCTCCACGAGTACTTAAATTTGTCTATTTCTATTAACACCTTTTTTTAAGGTAGTGGAAGACAGAGTATCAGAAGTATGTAGAGATTCAAGCACCTACCATAATTTGAGAACCTACTCTATGCCAGATAACTCCTTTAAGCTATTCATCTGCATACTCAAATTAATTTCATAAAGTTCAGGATTCTACTTATTTTAAAAATTAAAAACATAGGGGCGCCTGGGTGGCTCAGTTGGTTGGGCGACTGCCTTCGGCTCGGGTCATGGTCCTGGAGTCCCGGGATCGAGTCCCGCATCGGGCTCCCTGCTCGGCGGGGGGTCTGCTTTCATGCTCTCTGTCTCAAATGAATGGATAAGATCTTTAAAAAAAAAAAAAAAAGGAAAAAAAAAATTAAAAACATAAATTTGAAGACTGAAGAGTTAACTTGCCCAAGTCTGTATGGTGGGATAGCTAGAAACCTGACTTAAAATGCATATTGACTTGATTCAAGTCGTCAAAGGTGCAAAGAGCTCTAAGCAGCCCACACTCAGGCAGTTTTTAATCTGCCTGACTACTTACAACCATCCACCTTTCCACACCCCAGCTCACCCAAGACTGGCGGCACCGGCGGGAGCTACCCTCCTGGAAGGAACGGCACCTATTTATTTTCCCTCTCCCAAAACACCATTAATTTCCCCGCCCTAGAACCACAGGTAGTTCCAAGAAACAGATTACCAAAGCCCTCCTCCCTACACAGAGTTCACTGGAACTGAAACACACACACACCAACCACCTTCAGACCTTCCCATTCAAATTCTTATCCTGCCTTTTAAAAGCCCAAAGCTTTCTGTAAAACATCTCCAAAAATGCAATCGTCCCAACTAGTCCTTATTCTCCACTAACATTGCCATTTCTATACCTAAAACGGGTACTTCTTATGAAAGCAACAGCTATCTTCTCATCCACGTTCTGTAACAATAACAGCAATTAATCAGTAACAAACAAATCTGTAAGCTCTTATAGTCAGAGGGAGGATGATCCCCTCTCCTTTATAAGTAAGCTGAAAATAATAATGTTCCCCTAAATAGATTATGTGAGCATTCAAGAAAGAAAAACTGTTACACGCCTAGAAAAAAAAAATTTTTTTTATAACTTCAGTATTCACTCATATTCAAGATTTGAGTAATCTTGTTATATGTACCTACTTTATTCTACCACATGTTTTAAGGAATCCATAATCAACGAAAGCAAAACATGAAACTAGTCAAATAGCTAAGAGTTCACATAAGATTTAAACAAAACACAGCCATTAAAAAAAAGTTCAAGTGTACATAAACAAGGACCAAAAATCCACCCTCTGGTGTGCGTTCCTGATCACAGGGAGAATCAGAGAGCTTTTTAGAAGTTATTCCTAAAATTGCTAAGTGTCCTTCACTTTAAATTAAGCTGTCGTTTCCTTCCAAATAATCTCACTTAATGAAACTGACAAATCACTCATTGCAATTCTGTCTGAACTATAATTACAACAGAAACAGTGACAGTACATTTGTATCTTTGTCAGTGAAATGCTTGTAATAAGAAAAAAACATCTGATTGAACTCTGCATTGAGTAGCACCCAGTGCACCACCTAGTGGAAGCTGTGTAACATCGTAATTAACATTCTTTTTTAAAGGACAGAAACTCTAGGGAAGAATACAATACTATACAAATAGCCTAAATCTCTTTCCAGTTTCCCACACTGCAAGAGGGCTGTGTTCTTAAGAGAGGACTCATTTCCTGTACAAACTAACAAATTGATAAAGGTTTCTTAATGGAAATCCTTGGGCGCTAGAAATTTTGACAGGAGAGCAAAAATTAAGACATTAATGCAAAAAAATCGAATCAGAGATAGGGCTTATATAAGCTATGCCTTATATCTTACAAGAATAAGTTATGTCAAAATGGCATACAGACGCATGAAAAGGGACAACTTCATGATTAGAACAGTTCCATTCAGTAATTCATAAGACATTTCCATATTCCTGATGACTAATTAGTTCAACATAACCTAGCAATTCTCCAGAATTCCCCAAGCCTTGACACCATTCGAGAGGTTCCTGCCAACTAGCCATCTAAGCCTGCTCTTCATTAACCCCCAAACTCCTTTGTTTGCACTATTCTGAGAAATAAATGATTTTTACATTTTCAACTTTTCTACTAAATTTATAATTAACCTTTCCCAAGCCCCAAGTCATGACCAGAATGCATCATGCTTCATTTTTATTTGCCTTATGCATATTAATCATTTCAATTCAACTCAGAAAACAGTACTGAAGTCCACTGCTAAGCTACAGATGCAAACATAGATAAGATAGGGTTCTCTAATTTAGAAAATCTCCCCAAAATTTAAAATAGAGATTTTCACATAGCACCACTAGGAATTTGTTTTGTTTTGCCTGTGTGAAAAATTACCTTTCTGGTGTGATTCAAACTATCTCAACAACCTCGAGGAGGGGGAAAAAAAAAAAAAACCTAAGAGACACTATTTCTTTACTTGGAAAAAAACATCTCCATCTGTGATTCTTTTACCACATGATCAAATCGGTATACAGAAACTTACTTGATGGTGGGAACCTTAGTAGATCCTGGATTAAATCCACTATGGGTACAAAATAAAGTAGGAGTCAGGTGACCTGGGCAGAATTCTCCTCATCTCTAAGGCTTTTTCACTTTATGTACTTGTAAAATAGGCATGATATGCACTACCTACCTCCCAATAGAAGGATTAAAAAATTGACAGTCTGTGAGAGTCTCAATTAAAAGACCTAAATGGAAATACAGGTATCCCCCGTTTTTCACAAGCTCATGTTACACTACTTTGCTTTTACGACAGACCTTACTATCTCTTTGCACTAACTGAAAGAAACCCACAGAGGTGTTTGTTTTGCATCAGCTGGTATAGAGACAGCACACACCCAGGAACAGCCAGAGTGGCAGAACCAAGCTCCTTCCCTGGGAACTCCACTCAGCATCTCAGCATCAAGCCCCTAGCAGCTCTGACCTCTGTCTGAGCATCTGTGCTGTATCTTGATTTATTTGACATTAGCAAAATGTATTCTAAGGTATCAAAAAGCCTAAGAGGTTTTTGGGGGGTAACACTAAAAAAATTTCCCATATACATTAATAGTAAGTGGTTTTTTTTGCTTTGCAGCGCTTCGGTTTAGAAAAGATTTCATAGGAACGCTGTGTTTTCAGATAGCAAGGAAAACCTGTACTGGTGAGAACTGGAGTGCACCTAGAAGCGGAGAACACTGCTCCAAGAGTTCTCACGGTGCCATTACTGCCCAAACCCGGTGACCTTCACCATTTCACTTGTGAACAAATAGTGAATGAAAACAAAGGTTATTAAGCAAGTCAAAGAAAAGGTAATAACAATTCAAGGTGCAAATTTGTAATAAATTGTCTGGCTTGTCTGCAAAGTATTACCGCATGAGAACCAAGCAGGTGCATTCCTAAAACCTAAAACCCTGAAATTGTTTTTAGAGAAGCTTTTTTTTTTTATTTTAATGCTAATGTTTAAAAAAATTAGAAGAAGAAAAAAGAATCACAATTCTACTCCCACCCATGACACAGTGACAGAAACAAGGTTCCACCCCCACAATCCTTTGAAATCTGCGCAGGCATTCCTCATCAACATTCCTCCCCCTCACTCCTATTGCACCTTCCCCACTTCAGCCCAGACAAAGGTGAGTCACACTGCTGGGTCTACTTGTCACTTAAGGAAAAGTCCCCAAACAAGTTCACGTTAAAGACTGCTCTTAATTTAAAAAATAATAAATAACAAGTAAACAGTGTTAATGTGTAAATGGCACTGCAATGCGCCTGCCTCCAGAAAATATGTAATTAACAATACCCAAGACACCTTTCTGGCTTAAAAAAAAAAAAGCCACTCAGCTTATCGTTACTTATCAGTAGGTCCCTTTCCCTCGTGAGCCTGACTCTGACTCAACTCCGCAGTTTTCCTCCACCTGCACGTTCTCGAGCCCTCCGTTGGGCCCAGCCGCCTTACTCCGAGTCCCCAAGGGGTCCCGCCGGCAGC